AGATATGTTTAAAAGATATCTTCTAAAAATATGTTTTCCAAAAATATATCTTTTTGTTAAGAATATATTACGTCAATAATAATAAGATATGTTTTCTATAAAATCAAATTTTATTTAAAACATATACTTTCCAAATATATTAACTTATCTTTTTCAAAAGATATACTTATCATAAAATCAGATTTTATTCCAACTAGCTTATCTTTTTTATAAGATATACTTATCATAAAATAAGATTTTATTCTAAACTTATATTTTCCAAATATACTAGTAGTTTATCTTTTTCAAAGATATACTTTTAATAAAATCTGATTTTATTCTAAACTTATTTTTTCTTAAAGTACTTTCCAAAAATAACTTATCTTTTTCCAAATGGGATTTATTAGAAAATAAATATCTTTATTCTATAAAACCAAATCCCTAAAAGATATGCACGTATTAGGTTAATATTTATATCATTAAATCGACCTTTCACGACGTGCAGACTTAAGTTTCGATTAGGTTCTGGAACTCTGACTGTCACTGAGTTCTTGACAAGTCAGTAACTCTAATTTCATTGACTATCATGAGTTCACCTTGGTTCTTTAGACTTGTTCCAGACTGACTTTTATGTCCAACATACTTACATGAATCCTATAGCAATATACTTTGATTTCTCTGTCTTCATGTTGTTTCTTTGAAACTCTTGATCTGGAATCTTGTAGTATTGATGTATTCTAGATCTTAGGGCAACGTTCCACTTCTAGAACCGCATGCCAAGTTCCTAACTGGAACTTGCTGTCTTCAACGCAGACCAAGTCAACTCCTTAACTTGCTGTCTTCAAGTTCCTGTTAGAGAACGTTCCTGTTAGGGAACATGCTCTGGCTTTCGTGGGAAAGCCTGCCGAAAGTTCCTTCTGGATCTTGTTAGAGAATACCTTCAGGTTCCTTTGTGGTTTGGCTCTCATGGGAGAACCTGCTTTAGGTTCATTCATTCTCTCTTGTTCCTATTGAAGTCTTCTATGTTCCAACCCATTTAATTCACCTAAGTCAGTTCCTGTCTTCACATAAACACTTAATTAAGATAAACATTATATTGAAGTTTGTTTGTCATAAAAAAACTTCAAGTGAGAGAACTAATTAAACTTAAAGCTTATGTAAATATTTCTACACATATACAACTCGTGTATGCATAGTGTACTTACCTGATGAAGCTAACATATTAAAACACCTATTTACATAGTTACTTTCATGGTTCTTTAGCCATCATCATGCTTATAAACCATGACACTCATCATTGTTCTTGTTTCTCTATTGCTTATCATGTTTGCTCAGGTTCCTTATATATATACTTGACATTGCTCAGGTTCCTTAATTATATCCTGTTCCAATCATAACTTGTTCTTTCTACGCACAACTTAACAAACACATTAGATAGATATTCATCATTAGTTTACAATCATCAAAACATAATTACTCAACACAATAAAACCTAGAATTGCTTGTCCAAAAGATACGGTGTATATCATTTGTATTTGAGAAGCTATTGCGTGAGGCTTGTCTCACCAAATTGTCTCACCAATAGCTTTGTGAGACAAACCTAAAAAACAAAACCCAACTCATAGATGATATCGTACAACAAATAGAGGAATCATTCAGCCTATAAATGATACCATAGAATCAATAGAGAATATCATCAAGCCTAAATGATATCCTCCAAACAATGGATACTATCAAAGACACAATAGATGGGGAGAGAGAGGCTGTATTGGGGAGAGAGAGGCTGTATTTTTCTTGTTTGTGAAAACTATAACCCTAGTATTTGAGAGATTAAGTGGGTTAGGCCACTGGTGAGTTGTGACACTTGTGTGGGATTCAGGTTTTGAGAGGGTTTTTTTTTAACTTATACGGGTAGTCAGGTACCCAAACTAACTAAAGTGTGGCCCATGTCACGTCCCATGGCCAGGCTGTTTTGGCGGGTCGGGTAACCGACCCGAAGATTTACTAAAATTTGGTAAATTACCCGTTAAGTTTTTTTGAGTCATTGGGTAATCGGGACGGGTCAATCAGGTCGGGTTTTTTTTAACACCCCTAAGCATAGGTAGTGAGTCCCGACAGTTATAAGTCTCAAAGAGTCTCTAAATCTCCTGTACACGAATCTGCCGTTAGATCTGTATTAAATGATGAGGACGACCATGGGGAAGAGGTTAATCAGGAGGAGAACGCCAAGAGAAAGGAGAGGGCCGAAATGGTTGAGCTTATGGCTTATTTTACCCATGATGAAATCCTGGATGAGGAATATAACTCTGAGACGGACGACGCCGATTATCGACATCCTCTCAAATTCTCAATCTTACTGCCAACAGCAAGGTTGTCGAAGCTAAGATTAGTGACAATTGGTTGTCACTGGCAGAGGAAAAACAGTATTGCCGGCAAGCCAAAAGATTATACAAGTTGTCGGATGGTTACGAGCTCAAGCTCCCTCCGTCATCTTATACCGTCCTTGACTGCCATACGGCCATGTCGCAATTTATGCCATGCATGTTTGAGTTCGGAATTCGTTTTCCTCTTCACCCTTTTATTGCCAAAGTCTTTAGGGCTTGGAATGTCTGCCTTGCTCAACTTACTCCTCCTACCATTCGTGCTGTCGTCGCTCTTGTTTGAGTTTTGCTATATAAGAATTTTCCATTAACCCTAAATTTATTTTGAAGGCTGTTATCCCTTAACGTGATGGACAATCTGAAGGATGGTGGTCACTGTATACAACATCACACAAATTTGCAGTCAACCCTAAGATTTCAAGTTGCAAGGGTTGGCAAGATAAGTTCTTTTTCATGAGTGTCCCTGACGACTTCCCTATCAGGAGAACAATTTTTCTGCCCCACCCCCGTTTTGGACATATTGCCGATAAAGATCTTGGTGAGCAAGAGCGTAGAGCTTTTGAATATTTTGACGCAAAAAAAATTAATATCGAGAGTGGAAAAAGTCAAATTTTTCCTAAAGTGTGGCTGCCGAATATGAAGTACATTCTCGGCAATGCTCCGCTATCTTATGTCGGTCTATGCTGGACTGACAATTATGGCACTTACTTCATATTTTGAACTTTTCTTTATTCATTATGACTATAACTTGGATTTATTCATTGTTATTGTCTAACATGGATATATGTTTATATGCTGTTGTTAATCGTAATCAATTACTATTACCTTTTTTCTGCTATTTGACGTGTTTCCGTTAAATGCAGGTCCCAATAAGTTAGACAAGAAAGCCTGGTACTGTCCTCGGACGACAAAAGAGTTATTTCCGCTGCTTTTATCACCAAGCTTTTGATACCTTGTTGACATTTTGTTCTCGTGCCCCTAATCGGAATCCAAAAAGGAGAGCTCAAGATATGGCGGATAAGAACACCAGAAGGTGAAACAATTATGGGCTTATCTCCTGTTGCTTCTGACCGTTGCCCTATTTGCCCACAGTATTTTGGGTATTAGATAAGCCCATAATCCTTTTGCATCCTCTATCTTCTTTTTTAGTGCCGTTATGATCTGCTTGTTAGCTGCTTCAGCCTGGCCGTTTAATTGTGGATGACATACTGCGGCATATGCGAATTTTACCATATACATGACCAAAAGGTCTTTTACTGGCTTGCAATCAAACTGGGACCCATGGTCAAAAACCATTGCCATCGGTAACTCAAACCTTGTTAAAATATTCTTCCAAATGAACTTCTTGATCACCTCACCTCTTTGCTATTAGCTTGGCTTCTATCTACTTTGTGAAGTAATCAATGCCAACTAGGAATGACTATTATAATATCATACTTTATATATCCGAGAATTTCACGGGGACATAAATTATATTTTTAATACTACAATAGACACCATGAATGACACATGTCATTTTGTGGTGCTGTTTTTTCTATCTAAAATCTCCTTCCCTATTTTTCCTTTTTTTCGTTTTTTAGACAATGAAATTAATTACCTATTGTAGGGAATATTTTAAGCATTACCCCAAACTTGAACCCCACTGTGATCATACACTTAATTATGGTGGCGTCCAAAGGGAAGGAAGCTAGAGCAAAAGAATCGCCAACAAGTTTTAGGAACTTGTAAACCGTTCACGGGGTGAAGGTTACACCCCTTAATGATCCAAGAGATCGTTAACTTCAATAGGTCTGGAACCATGACTGGTAGTTCGAGGATGAAGGTACAAATCCAACCTAAAAGAGATTGAACCTGCCCTAATAATAGGCTTCTACTTTATTCTTCTCGTATTCATGTGCGCTTTTTGACTAACATACAATCAATAGGTTTACCCTAAACCTGTTTATCTATGTTGGTTGAATATTAATGCACAAACAAATCTATTTTTGGCGATCACTTAACTTATAATCATATTAAACCTAAACAATATTATTAATTATCTTATCAAGCATGATTACAAGTACAAATTCCCTTTAAACATGCATAAAAGGTGTGATCAAGCAATAACAATAAATATATCAAGCAACATAATAATCATAATAATAAATCATAATCATGTTAAAGCATAATAATAGCAAGATCCTAGGCATGATACTAACAAGATTAATAACAAACCCTAGCATGTCACACTAGTGGAAAAAAGGTTATTCGTAACGGGCAAAAACAGTTTATCCGTAACTGGCGGCGGCCGTTACGTATGCTGTCATTACTGATAGGAAATGTTATTTGTAACGGGAACTGCCCGTTACAAATAAGTAGTTATTCGTAACGGGCAGGTGAAATGTCCGTTTCGAATAATCATTTATTTGTAACGGACAATTACAATGCCCGTTACAAATAACCCTTTATTTGTAACGGACAATTACAATGCCCGTTACGAATAACTAGTTATTTGTAACAGGCATTTATGTTGCTCGTTACAAATATTGTCTAAAAAAGGAAAAAATTTAGGGGTATTTGTAACAGGCACATTAAAAGTGCTAGTTACATATACCCCTATTTTTATCCATTCACCATCTATAAATTAACTATAATAACATATATCAAATCCAATCTTTACATATTACCAAAGACCAAATCCAATTTTACATATTTTCAAGCACTAAATCCAATTTTACATCTCAATAATATTGTAAAAAAAAAAAAAAAAAAGTAAATAAAGAGAAACAGCAGCATCCAAGAGAAGGGAGTAATCGCAGCTCCAACTGCAGCAACAACCATAACCATTTAAGCAACGATAGCGCGCAGCTGCATCATCATAGAAAAAACCATATTTAAAAAATTAAAAAAAAAATAAGAAAAAACGATTAGGTATCAACGTGTAAGCAGGATACAATCAGGTCAGAACAAAGTCACCTGGGAATCATCCGCAAGACCATGTATGTACCAGCAAGGCATCCAATTTTTCAACTGAATTCCGAGCTGGCCGCTGAACGAGAGGCGCAAGCTTACCATCTGTAACAACAAGATATTGAAGCAATCCTGTTTCAGTATACAATCTATGCCAAAAGAAAATTGAGCAGATAAATAATAATGCACCAAGTCATGTCAACATCATAATATTTCAACCACAACACATTTCAAGCTGCTAATTGTTCTTTTAAACAAAGTCACTCAAAGAGAGCTATAATGTCAAACAACCTAACAGGACAGAAAAAGGCCAACCTCTTAGGAATCTCTAGATTAAAAAGAATGGAATGGACAAAATTACTTTTTAGATCTCTAATTCCAACTTTAATATTTGTTACACATTTCTCAACATTTTATTCATGCCTATTTATACGATCCTACATTGAAAAAAGCAAGTCTAATTACTAGTTCTGGACGAAGACATTGACCCCAATTATCATGAAATAACAGCCAGCTATAGCAACAATATTTCACCATAACAACTTAAATGCAGTTTCTTGGTCACATATTTTCTGCCCTGTCACTATTTTGGTGAGAGTGAGGAGTGCAAATGCTGCACAAACTACCTGCATTATTTGTTTAAGTCCAAAAAAGTAAGGGATACCAGAAGCTAAGCCCAAGACTAATTAATTCCATACCAAGTCAGCTCTCAATTTGATGCAAGACAGTAGAATTTGGAGTATAAGTGTGTAACCTTATAAATCATTGCAAAATAGCAAAGCAGAGATGAACCATGCCCCTCCAATAAACATTATTTTAGTCACACCAAAACTATCAAACTAAGATCTTGCTAGAGTAACAAACATAAGAACCAAAGGCTTTTAAGATATCTACAAGGATACTACTTTAAATCAGTTCATATAAATTAATATGGGAATATCAGTCACATTAAAAAAATTCATACTAAAAACACTCCTCAAACCAAAAAAAATTCAATATAATACTTCTATACAGCAGTATACTGTCAGTAAAATCCACAATAATCAAATTCCATTTCATATGCACATTTTGTAGGGTCTCAAGTATAAATCAAGTTTTATATTTATTCAACTCATTTCGCAGATTAGCAAGCAACTATAAATCTATAATATAGTACTCATCAACGCTCAGCTACATAAAAACCATTAAATTTCATAGCTATGTAATTTCATTCATAAATTCAATGAACAAAAACAAGGTTTAACAAATTATATACCTTCTGGCAGCAAGACCTCCGAGAAGCTTGTAACGAAGAAGCTTGTAACGAAGAAGCTTGTAACGAAGAAGCTTGTAACGAAGAGAATCACACTGAGCGATAATGGAATTAAATTTCTTCTACACAATTGAGCTCAACTCCCTAATCTTTCTTCCCTTTTCACCTAATCAACTCCAAACAATAAAGTATCAAGATGAAAATCGCAAAAATTGAAAAAAAATAAAAAAATAAAAAGCATCAAGTCAAATCAAAAATCGAAGAAAGGGGGAAACTACCAAGAACATTTTGAGTATGACTAGCCTTAATGATCAGACGTCCCTAACGTTAACACCAGCACCCAACAAATGACATGAACCTAAATTAAACGATCAGGGTCACTGTATATATTCAGCAATCTCTATAAGATTAAAATGATGCATACATTCAGCAATCTTAATAAGATTAAAACGCAGCATACATCCAGCAAACTTAATAGGATTAAAATGTAGCATATGTTATAGGATTAAAATGTAGCATACGTTATAGGATTAAAATGTAGCATATATTCAGCAACAATAAAATGCAGGCATTTATTCAGCAATCTATCTTTATAATATTTAACAAGCAGAACTTGATACAAAAATACTTAACATATCAATTGCACAAATCCTGAAATAAAATCAAGTAAAAACCCTAAAATTATAATAATCAAGTACTAAAAAAACTAATCTAAACTCCTGTCCACACCATTATATTCAGTTTACTCGTCAATAATTTAGATCGATAACAGGACAGAAATCAAGGAAACAAGCCACAATAACATAGACACATAAAGATACATAGCATCAAAAACATGAATTTCAGAAAAGTAAAAAAATAACAGAATATCAAAGATCTCTAATGAAACTTCATTGAGTTAAGCGGCCGATGATTTCTACGACCAAATTAAACGGCCTTCAAACCACCATCATCACCTAAAATTTGTTTGAGTATATAATCCAAATTATTCTAGCAAAATAAACTGCTTATTTGAGTATAGAATGTAAATTGGGCTAATTTGTTGCTCGTTTTCATAGGCACACCAACTGTCATTTTGTAGAATCCCAAGTATAAATCAAGTTAAATAATTATTCAATACATTTTGCAAATTAACAATCAACTACTTAGGAATAAACAACCAATTCATATTAAAATCAGAAAAACAAACTAGAATTTCATTCTTCGCAACAATTAAACCTCAATTCACAACAAAATAATGACCAAAATTAAATAATCCATCAGCCAAAACCGATTAAAATCATCGATCAACTAATTCCATAAACAGATCGAAACACCAACAAGAAATGAATCATCCAAAATACGATAAATTAAAAGACGAAATTCAAGATCTGTAACTAACTTAAACCCTAATTCATCAAACAAAAATTTTTTAAAAAAATCCACATGACTGCAAGAAAAAGAGGAGAGGAAAAGAGGCGAAACCCAAGGAGGAGTATCGCTGCCGCCGCTTTGCAGAGATCTAGCGGATAATCGCCTTATCGATGCCGGCTTTCTACAAAATTGCCTTATCGGTGCCGGATAATCGCAAATTAAACCTCTTCTACAAAATCGAGCTCAAATCCTTAATCCTTCTTCCCTTCTCACCTAATCAACCCCAAACAATAAAATAACAAAATCAAATCGAAAAAACACACAAAAAAATAAATCAAATCAAATCAAAAATCAGAAAAGGGGAAATTGAAGGGAGGTTCATCAATGGATCAAGGAGAAAGAAAATGGAGGTAAGGAGAAGTGGAAGAGAAAGTTAAGTGAGAAACAATATCCATTAAAAGAAGCAGAATCCGAGAAGAGAGAAAGAGAGAGGGTAAGAGAGAGGAGAGAGAGTATGAGACGGCTGCTAGAAAAGGTGAAGTGAAAAAATGTAGTTAGGCGCTTTTAGGATTTTTTAACATCTAAGTAATAAACCTATTCGTATCGGGCAGTTGGTGCATGTTACGAATCCCAACTTATTTGTAACGGGCAAAACGCTGCCCGTTACGAATAATTTGATTTTTGTAATGGACATCATTTTGCCCGTTACGAATACTCTTTTCCGTACCACTATGCTATTTTAATGTAACGGACAGTTAGTTTGCCCGTTACAAATAGGTTTATTGTAACTGGCAAACTACTGCCCGTTACAAATAGGCTGTTACAAATGGCATTTTTTCCACTAGTGTCACTAATCATCAAAGATCAAATATATAGCCCTAACATGATACTAACATGAATATTAAGAAAGACAATAAAAAGGATCCTAAAAATCATAATTGACATTATATTCTTTACCCTAAACATGATACTAGGAACTTATTGTTGTCACACTAAACATCAAATTAAGAAAAACATCCTAACATGATACTAGGAATCAAAATAGGAACCTAAACATGATTTCTATATCAAAATATCAATAAAACAATTAAAACACTTACTTGGATGCCTCGTACATCTTTCTAATAACAAAATACACACGTTAGTAACTTCAAGGAAAATATAAAATAAAGGAATTAAATTAAATAATTGAAAGAAAGAATCTAAAGAAAGTTTAGACTAGATTTGGGACCAAACCCTCAGTAATCAAACCTTTCACGTCTAGGGCGAAGGCAACTTCGAACTATGCTAGGTGTGTCTAGATCTTGTGAATGCGGAATTTGGTAGTTGAGAGAAGGCTAGTTTAGAAAAAAGAGAGAGTGAGTAATCAAGAATTTCTTGATGAGAGTTGGTGGTTGAAAACGGAGGTTTTAGGAGGCTATTTATAAAGAAAATCAGCTGGATATGATAAAAAACGAATCAGAGTTTTGAAAAGAATAAAACACGACTGCAGCGCCAAACACGCGCCTGTCACTAGTAGAATAAATGAGATGGGAACCGGTTATAGGCAAGCGGTTTACAAAATCCGCTTCCCATTTAATTAATAAAAAAAAAGGGGAAGTGAAATGGCAAGCGGTTTTGGCGCGAACCGCTTGCCTTTTAACTAATGGTCAGCGGTTTGGCCTTGAACCGCTTACCATTAGTTAAATTGGCAAGCGGTTCAAGGCCGAACCGCTTACCATTTAAAAAAAAAAAAGCGGGATACACCCTCTCTTCTCCTCCCTGTAATTTCACCTATTCACTTCCCAAATTTTTCAAGTCCCCCGCCTTCACTCCTCCTCTCTGTCTCCCTCGTCCTCACCTCACTTCTTCAGATTCCGGCCACCACCACCACCACTCCATTCATATTCATTTTTTTTTTTTTTTTTAATTTGGCTGTTTTAAGTGAAGCTGCGTTGTGGGTCGTGGGTCGAGGCTGCTCGAGGCTGCTGATGGTTGGTCGAGGTTGCTGGTGGTTGCTCGAGGCTGCCGGTGTTTGCTGGTGGTGTTCGTGGGTGCACTTGGTGGTGGTGCATGTTCGAGGGTGTTGTTGAACCGAGCCCAAGCACGACAACTCTCTGTTGTCTCTCTCTCTCCCTCCAATTGTCATCCTCATTCTTCAATCTTCATCTTTCTCACTCTCAAATTATGGTGAGTTCTTGCTAAATTTTAGTTTCATATGTATTAATTAGTATTAATTGTTTGTTATTCCAAAATTTCAAGTTAGGGTTTCAAGTAGTTAATCCAAGTTTCATATGTATATATATATATTATTTGAATTTAAGTAGCTTTAAATGAAATTTATTAATAGAATATATATTAGTTAACATTTTAGTTTGTTAAATGTGGTTAGTAAATTGCAATGTATGAATATAATGGATTGCTATAAATATATATATATGAGTAAACTTAGTTTGATTTTGTATGTATGTTAATTTAATTATTATCCCTATTTAAATGAATGAACTTGTTTATTGTTGAATGTCAAATAAATGCAAATAATAATTGAATGCTTACATCATCATTTACCTAGATACCCGTTCGAGTCTTTCTCAATAGGAGAAAGTCTTGAATAGTCCCCAGTTGGGACTGTTCTTGGACGTTTAATCTCACTTAGGTAGTGAATTTATGTCTCTTTTTCAATTTTAAGGAATATCCGGACTTCTCATTTTCTCACCATGTTCTCTAGGTACATATGTAGGTAAGTTATTACCTACATCGTGTACTTGGAGAACTAGGGGAAAATGCTGCCGGATTTTCCTTAAAATTGAAAAGTTGACATACATTCACTAGTGAGATTAGACGTTCAAGGATGGGTTAGGTTAGAGTGATAAGGACCTTTTGGGAGCATTCATTTTTACGATATATGGATGATATATATGTTATGTACTTTGATTACATAATATATGTTACATTTATCATTGTTTGAAATGTGTTGGTATGTTTAAAGGCAATTTAAAGCGTCAATGGATCGCGGTTGGATGTATGGTAGACGTGATATATTGGAATTTTTTAATGGGGTTCAAGAGTTTTACAAGAGTGCTTCACAGTATCAGCTTAGAACGGGTGTCAATTACCTTTATTGTCCTTGTGTCAATTGTAATAATGTCATAAGGGTCAATAGTGTGGATACCATCATGGCTCATGTACAATGTCATGGGTTTAGGCCTCAATATCATGTTTGGGTTTGGCATGGTGAGAAGGGATCATATAGGGAGAATGTTGTTGGCAATGAGACGCATGTTGAAAGTGCCGAGATTCATGTTGAAGAAGAAAATGGGAGTGATGATGGTGGTGAAGGGGATGACACCGAGGATGGTGGTGGTGATGATCACTTGGATGAGATGATGCGTGATGTTGAAGGTGAATTTGGTGACCGACCTGATGTATTTGAGTCATTATTAGAGGCTACCAAAAAGCCTTTGTATCCTGGGTCCAAAAAATACACAAAACTCTCAGTCGTGCTTACACTATTTAACATTAAGTCTAAGCATAACTGGAGTGACACTAGTTTCACTTCTTTGTTGACTGTGTTATGTGATATGTTGCCAGATGGGAATGAACTTCCTAATTCCTATTATTATGCAAAGAAACTAATGTGTCCATTTGGTTTGGAGTATAAAAAGATACATGCATGTCCTAATGACTGTGTTCTGTATCGAAATGAATATGAAGAGTTGGAGGAGTGTCCACGTTGCGGTAAGTCGCGTTACAAGCGATCAAGCTGCAATGCTGGTAGTAAAGGACCTCCTGCCAAGGTGTTGTGGTATCTTCCTATTATTCCAAGGTTAAAGCGTCTATTTTCAATACCAAAAGACGCCAAGAACCTGAGATGGCATGCTGAGGGAAGAAAGAAAAATGGTTTGTTGAAGCATCCTGCTGACTCTCCACAAACGAAGAACATCGATATGAAGTTTAGGGCATTTGGTGGTGAAGTCAGAAATTTAAGGCTTGGGTTGTGCACGGACGGTATGAATCCATTTGGCACTCTTAGTACTAAACATAGTACATGGCCGGTACTTTTAGTGATTTACAACTTGCCTCCATGGTTGTGTATGAAACGGAAATATATAATGCTTTCACTTTTGATAACGGGGCCAAGGCAACCTGGAAACGACATTGATGTTTACCTTGAGCCCCTTATTGATGATTTGAGAAAGATGTGGGACGAAGGTGTTACCGTTTATGATGCCCATAAGAACGAGATGTTTCTTTTGCGTGCTGCCCTTATGTGGACCATCAATGATTTTCCTGCATATGGAAATCTGTCCGGGTACAAGAACAAAGGGCATAAATCATGTCCCATTTGTATTGATGACACACCGAACGTGTACCTTGACCACTATGGCAAAGATGTGTACGTGAGGACCCAAAGATTTCTTAAGCGCGATCACCCGTATCGTAAGCAGAAAAAGGCCTTCGATGGGAAAGTTGAGGAGGGGATTGCGCCTAGGCCATTGAGTGGAAAGGAGGTTTATGAGAGAGTGAAGGGTATTCCATGTGTTTTTGGTAAAACAACGAAACCAATTGACCCACACGCTCTCTTTAAAAAGGAATCAATCGTTTGGAAGCTTGAGTACTGGAAAGAACATGATGTTAAACATTGTCTCGATGTGATGCATATAGAGAAGAATGTTTGTGATGCAATTCTGGGGACAATTATGAACATTCCTGGAAAAACGAAGGATGGCAAGAGTGCGCGGTTAGATTTGCAAGAGTGGGGTGTTCGTCCGGAGTTGTGGGTTCAAGCTAAGGTAGGGATGGCGAAGGTTAAGGAAAAGGGAAATGAAGATGGTGGTCAAAACCGTAAGGGGAAGCGCAAGGAAAAGGCCACGGGTATCGCAAAGAAGAAAGGTGATGGAAAAGGAAAGAACCAAAAGGTGTATTTACCTCCAGCTTGCTACACATTATCAAAGGAAGAAAAACGGAGGTTTTGTGCTTGTTTGTATGACATTAAGCTTCCATCTGGTTCTCGTCAAACATGAAAAGGTTTGTTTCCTTAAATGGAGAATTGAAGTTGACAAGTATGAAATCCCATGATTGTCACATGATGATGCAAGTTTTCCTACCGATTGCACTTTGTGGTATTTTACCAAAGCACGTGAGAGAAGTTATAACAAGCCTTTGTTGGTTTTTTTAATAATATCTGTAGCAAAGTTCTTGATCCTTTTACACTTGATGCTCTCCAGGCGATTGTTGTGGTAACTTTGTGCAAATTTGAGATGTTTTTCCCACCTTCACTTTTTGACATAATGGTGCATTTGATTCTGCATTTGGTTCGTGAGATTAAGTTGTGCGGTCCAGTATTTATGAGGTGGTGCTACCCTTTTGAACGACACATGGGTACACTGCAAGATAAAGTAAGAAATCCAGCCCATCTGGAAGGCAGTATGATACAAGGAATTGTGTCCGAGGAGATTGGGAATTTCGTGGCAGAGTATGTTGCCGTTGCCGAATCTATTGGGCTTCCCACTTCCCGACATGAAGGGAGACTTGATGGTCATGGCACAATCGGGTCAAAAAGGAT